CGGGGGAGAGGGGGGGGGGGGGGGGGGGTAATAAGAAAGGCTGTACAATGTATCAAGTTCTAATTTCCAAACCTTCTCTGCTTGAAAACATTAAACTTTTACAAAAAACAAAGAAGAGGGAAACAAAAGACAAAGAATTATCAGAAAGAAAGGTGAAACTAAAATTTAAAAAGTAAAGATACCCACAAATATGGTAATATATAAACAAATAATACTCCCAAGCATTTTGAGGTTCTTATCCCTTGAGAATGCTTGACTGATCATCAGCTGCTATTGCTACCTTCCTGTCATGAGATGGACAAGCCCTTGGTTTTCATAAAAGGAACCGATATCCCAATCCTCAGTTGAGGATGACAGAGTCATTAAAGCTACAACAATGGACCTCATGCTAGGTCTCAACTGAGGATTTTCATGTGTGCAAGCCTTGGCAAGCTGAGCAACCTGCAAACGAAACAACCAACTAATTTACATAGGCGAAAACGCTTCATTTTCTTACAAGAATAACAATGACACTTTACCTTCCAGACTGAATCGAGCGGATAGTCATCTCCTAGTTTGGGATCAACCACTTTGCGTAAACCTTCTCTAGCACCATTCTGGTTGAGAACATCCTCAAACTGCAAAATATTATTATTGTTTAGAAATAGAGCAAAATTTTCTAAGTGGTTTAGAGGCTGGAATTTATAGGTAAGACAAGAAGGTGACAAGGCATACCAAAGCAACAAGCCCCTTTGATTCAGTTATAACTTCATTCGTCTTGACAATAGCTTCTTTAGCAGATATTAGTTCATAAAGCACTACTCCAAAAGCATAGACATCGACTTTCGGGGAAACGTCACCATACTGAGCATACCTGTATGCAAGGCCCATTTAAAAAAGATTAACTACAAATAAAATAAATAGGAAAATACAATGCACAAACCAATCAGCAAAATTCCAACTGACAACTATGTTGCGCGAACGAAAGTGCTTAATATCAATATTTTACAGGTGACAAAATCTAGCAACATAAGATGAAATAAGTTTTTCTTCCTTACTGTTCGTATCCGAACCTTTAAATTCGCTGAACCTCACTGCTTCTTTATGTTCACAGAGCAGAACTTATCTCCGGTTGTATTATTTAAGATTAGCAACCATGTCTTAATTCTATTAGCATTTAGCGGAAATATCTTGAAAGATATAGTCTTTCCCAAAAGCAAATTTGAACCAGTAAATATAATGCAAATGCATTTACAGGTTTTGCAAGAAAGGTTAGCAACTCCTTCAACTTCACTATTCTGCCATTGCTCCAGACCTATGACACAGTACATTTAACTAATATACCTAACGTTCATGCCTTCTCTAGAATAATGTATATCTTGAACAGGATTAACAGCTACATACAATGACCTGCCAGATGTGAGCAAAAGAGAGGAAAAGGAAAAGGATACCAAGTTTTTTTCTGCATTTACTTGCTACTGGGGTGGTTCTGAATTTCAGTGTTGAAACAAATAGATATCTTAGCAGACAGAAGCATTACTGCCAGATATCATCATAGAATATAAAAACTGAAAAAATACTGGTATAAGATGCCACCTGGAATTAGACGCTTACTCTGGAGGCATGTAACCAAAAGTACCCACAAGCCGAGTATGCAAAGAGGTACTTCCAAATTCAGTTAGCTTTGTAAGTCCAAAGTCGGCTACCTACAAAAGAAAAGATCTTTCGATGCATTTATATGACAAGGCTTTGATCTTTAATTTGAAAATCACAATTTTCACAACCTTCGCACGGAAGTCTTTGTCAATCAGAATATTAGCAGATTTAATATCACGGTGGATATATAAAGGAACAGTATGCTCATGGATATATTCAAGTCCTCTAGCTGCATCAAGAGCAATTTGCACCCTGGTAGACCATGACAATGGATTCCGGCCTGGAAGTCAAAGATCGAGATGGATTTACAAGTGAGAAAAAAGCAGCAAAGTGATTATATTACATGGTTTACACAGCATAACAGAATTTCACTTACCCGATCCGCGCAAGTGTTCGCCTAGGTTTCCATTTTCAATGTATTCGTAAACTAAGAATAAAGACCCTTCAACACAATATCCAATTAAGCGTACCTGCAATAGGTTTTAAAAATAAATGTCATGTCATGGTCTCAATCAGAACAAGTATCTTTTGCCCTTTAAAATTGACAGAGAAAGTTCTGTGTCTTGCTCACTTTTCAAGGGAATGACCAAGGGGCTGTTGAAAAAAGGCACGCATGAAATAAATGAACTATTTTCTGATCATTGCACAGAAGATATAACGTGATGCAGGCTCCCAAAGAGGCTCTGTGGTGATTATCATATGTAAATTTCAATATTTTTATATTTCTTAAACATGGATAGAAAGAATAACAGCATAGTTAATTCGACATATGGACCAAAGTCCTAAGTCACTGGGACAACACCATAATCTAATAGCTTGATGGCACAGAGCCATGTCACATGGCATTTCTGCATTTTTATTAGTAGAGAATGTGGCATATGAGCTGAATTTGAATGTTGATTACAGAAAATTTTGGATCTCGAAGGAAGTAGAAGCATGTTTGAACTTCAAACCTTGAACCAGCTGCCAGGCTATCTTTACAGGAAACACAAGCACAAAAACAAGAATACCTATACAAGGAACGTCGATACTTTCAATCATTATAAGAAGAATAAACTTACCAAGTTCAAGTGATGGACATGCGTTAAGACTTTCAACTCGGCGAAGAATTCTTTCGATGCTTGCATATCCATTTTCTTAATTGCTGCTCTCTGCATTCAAGTCAGAAGAAGGCCTAAGCTAAAGAAATGGGAAAAGGCAAAAGATACATTTTTTTTATGATTTAAATGTGTATTACGAATTCATTGAACTATGTTTCATCCAGTGCATACATCTAAGGACTAGAGCCTATCAGCCTCCATGACCTCTTTAGATATGATGCTCTGGCTATATAAAGAACAACCACATTTTGAACTCATGTAACTTTGGATGTAAACTTCGGATGATCTAGTAGTCATGAATTTATCTTCTTCATTCATAACTCAAGATCTTTAAGCTACAGTGTTCTCCATGCTCACTACTGATTAGTAAACTATGCTCTTTTCTGTTAGCCCTGTACCGGTATTGTGAATGAGAAGACATTGACAAATTAAAGTAGCTACCAACAAGTAGTACGAGTATTTAAGTGTTTGTGTGAAATACTATGACAAGAATATCCACAAACCTCGCCTTTTAACATTCCATAAAAGACTAATCCAAAGCCGCCTTGACCAATCTTATTTTCCATGCTGAAGTTATTTGTAGCCTTAGCAAGTTCCTCGTATGAAAATTCCACCGATTTATCCACTGTGATCCCTGTCGGCCTTGGAGAAATAACACCATATAAAAGACCTGATTCTGTAATTTTCTCCAATTTTGGAGGACCTGATGCATAAAGGATTTCATTAAACCATTCTGATTACTTGGTTTTGAAGACAGTGCTTCATCAATTGTTAATATTATTGATTTGGCAGGTAAATTTGGCTTAACTATAGACGTTTTCAACAAAATATGCATAAGGCTTTCTGACAGTGAACATGATGATTATTCATGGGAAAAGCAAGAGAAACAACAAACATAAACAGCAGAAACTCGTGCTGCATCACTAGTTAAGGATATTTGTCCACATCTATCTACTTCAAGAAGCAACTACTATCTTTTTATTGGGGAAAAGATACATTACAATAAAAAAAATTACTTACGAAAGTGCTCATTAAAGTGTTCATCAGATGATCCTTGGAGAAATGATTCCTCCTCTATTTGCTTGCTCCTATAAAACACAAAATAAAGGCAAACTGCAAAGATAGTAGCCCCAAAAATAGCTGCCACTATTATACCAGCAATGGCTCCACGTGAGATTCCTGGCAAAACGGCATCATTTAGTAAGCCATATACCAAAATATATGATCATACTTCATGTCTGAACTCATAAGTTGAAATATATCTCATCACAGCAGTACGCGAAGTAGAGTCAACCTTTTGAACTGCAAAACAAAGCAGAGAGAATGTTCTCAGATGACTATCTCGGACAAAAAAAAACACTAAGTAGATCTCTAGAGTTTTTCAAGTTTGGATAAAACCTTGTCTTCAATGATGGAAATTTTCCATATGCATCTGCAATGATAGTGTAAAAAACGATTACTAGGTCAGCAGTAGGGCAAATTTAACAAATAAAATAATCATTCTTTACCATGAATTTTTTTCCATCCATATCAAATCATTTGAAAAGAAGAAAAAAACTTTGGAGCTTCTGCACAGTAAAACAACTTGCAGTACTTATCCAAAAACCACCTACTTTACCAGATTGTTTTTAAGTACTAACGCATTACTTGCTAACCTTCCATCCATTTTGATAGCTGATCTTTGTTATAGCTGGCCTTAATTTCTCGATCAATTGGATTTTGAATATGCTAAGTTTATATATTAGTCGAAGGGGAGCCTTGACGTAACTGGTAAAGTTGCTGTCATATGACCATGAGGTCACGGGTTTAAGCCGTGGAAACAGCCTCTTGCAGAAATGCAGGGTAAGGCTGCGTAGAATAGACCCTTGTGGTTCGACCCTTCCCCGAACCCTGCGCATAGCGGGAGCTCAATGCACCGAGCTGCCTTTTTTATATATTAGTGTAACCTCGTATATTAAACAAATGAATTACATTTTGCGGGAGCAAAACCAATTCACTTGTTTATTCCTCTACCAACTTCCGAGCAGTTAAATCACTGAATATTTATAAGATCGTATTTCACATGCATTATTCCTCAAGCGGAGACGGATCCAAAAGTTTTAGGATCAGGACTCCAGAGTATCACTGCGCGCTCACGCGCTACTCTTTTTTAATCTGGTTACCAACTTAGTATAAACGTATCAATCACAAGGCAGTTAGTGTCTAGCTGTCTAGGCATTAGTCAGTAATTAGTTAGTCACATCTACTTATTGTAAATATACATAATTTTAGGATTTTCCAACTGTGTATAGCTCGAGCAAAACAACACAAGCTACAAGCCTACAATGGAGCTACATCAGTTCCTATCCTCAAAAAAATTCATTGCGACATTTAGTCGAGCAATATCAGGTAATACAGGGTAGTATTAACAGTTATATTAAAACAACAAATAGATATGATACCATTCATTCCCCATAATTACCACATGATTCAAGTCCTACCCCGAAAAAAAGATTAACACCAAATGCCAAAAATCGACGCAAAGCTCTGCTTTTCTTGGTTTTACACACACACACACAAAAAAATGAATCACACAAAAGTGAAAATCAAGCATTGTGGTCGTCAATGTCCATAATGGCCCTAGTTCTATAGCGTCTGCTGTGCTTCTGCAAACTTCCAGGTCTAGCTCTGTTGGCTGCATTATACCACTCATCTTCTTCCATTGCAGAGACTTGAGCATTATCGGATTCTAAGGCAACAATGCTAAGGGGAAATGTTTTTCTCACTTGCATTTGTTCTGCCTTAGCGCCCTGCTTGGTGAAGGGGCCAGCAGGCTCCTGCTGCTTCATTCTCGGGTTAAATGTAGGCAATTTCTGGAAATTAGTGCAGCTATCATGCTCCAGCTGTGCTCGCTTCTTCATGAGACTGCAGAAGTCCATGTAGGCTTTCCGGTTGGATGCTTCATCCATACCATCTGAGGCATCAAGCTTATAGCAAGTATACTTGGACGGATTCCTTATATAATCTGGAACAGACGAATCCGGGGGCAAATTAGAATTTTCGTTCAACTTGAACCCTTTAGGAGGTGGCATGGAAGTGAAATGAGCTTCTCTGAGGGCGGCCTCAGCAGCATCTTCCTGGAGCCTGAGCTTGGCGGCCAGGTGATTAGCGCGAGGATCTCTCTCAACTTCCTCAAGTGTAAGAGGAAGCTCATTGTAGGTATCCGTAGGAATTCCGTAGTCGGAGACGTCCCGCAAGTACAAGCGGTCATTAGGCTGTTGCTTCTCCCTACCGACGGCCACTTTGTCAAATTCGTCCTCTTCCTCCTCATAGTCGAGAGTGGAATCTAGACCAATGCAGGACCCGATATCCGATTCATCAGCATCAGCATCATCTGGCTCTTCTTGGCCGTCACTGAGCTCTTCCAGATCGGACTGGAGCTGTTTGGGGAAATCTAGGGTTTGCAGGTGGGGCTTAGCGAAGAAGCCGTCAATATGAGGAGGGCAGGGTTTGGAATCAAAGTCGAGTAGTTCTCGGGAGGGGCTATCCCTGTCCCATTCCCTTTTGTGAATCTCGTCGTCGGTTAAACACCAGAGAGAACTCAAATTGGAGGAGGGCGCCGTCGCCGTCGAAGTCAGAGAGCCGAAGACCTTGTCGACCCGTACTCTGAAGCTGTCATCCATCGCTACCTTGTGAACAGTGAGTGCACTTCTTAAATTTGCCGCTCCCTTGTCAGCGTATGGATGCGCACGTAAATAGGGCTGCCGTGCCGTGCCGTCGGTAAGTCGGTTATCCTTTCTTTTTTATATATATTTATTTTATATAGCCTAAAGTGCACTTGTAGCCACATTTATATTGCTTTTTTAAAACATACTCAGCATTAGATAATTTAAAACATAGCCACAATTAAAAAAGAATAGTAGAGGGTCGCTTCTTCAAAGTTTTTGGAATTTCTGTACTGAAGTTCAGTTTTTACAGGTCGAACTTCATAATAGTGTCCTGCAGTTTAATAAATTGTGGAGATTGAACTTAAAGAATAGAATTTTGAACTTTTAAGATATTTGGGCGTGAAGTTTGCGAAGAAGGTTCATGATATTCCTTTTTGCTCTCCATTTTCTTAATAAGAGAAATAGGGACAAAACAATCAATGAGTGCTCTTTTACATAATTAATGAGGGAATAGTAACTCCATCTATGTGAATTCACAAAATATATAGTTGGTGTTAAGTTCAGATAAAAGAGAAAGGTAGGTTGATGGTAACGTAAAAATAGTTTTACTATGATTAATTGTCTGATATTGCGATTAGAGCGAGATAAATATAAAGCATTTTATCAAATTTTTGATGTTTAAGATATATAATCAATTGATAATAAAAGAAGAAAAAATATCCAATCGAATTAACATGATAGGAGGTGATCACTGAATTCAAATTCACGATATTATACTTTAAATTGTTATCGATGATCATTGAGTTGTCTCCACAACAGCATAAATATAAGGATGAAATACGATCACGGGAAAATACCATATTACATGTTAAATACTCGTACTTCTTGTAAACCACTCATGCCATGACTAAAATAAACTAAGAAATCCATTATGCTATCTTTTGCTGGTCCAATTGGAAACAATAACGTTCCAGGTATTTAATTTATTTAAATAGCTAATTTCCAATTCAAATAAACAACAAAAATACTCACTAACCTCTAGCCGGCACAAACACTATTCCTGACCCGGAATCAAAATCCAAACCCGGATTAAACTTCTCCAGTAACTCAGCCGGCACACCCGACGCCTTGGCCACCGTTGACAAGTTCTCTCCCCGACGAAGAGGGTACGTGACGAACAACCCATAATCGTCGGATACGTCTCTATCACCACACGAGCAATTAACTGTCACGTTGATCATGGCATAATCCGGTATGTTGATCGGGTCATAAGTGTTGACCCGTTTGAGCCAATACTCCGTTGTAAGATTTGCAAAGGCCATAGTCGCAATTTTCTTGTACGTATCACCAAACACTGTTTTGTACACAAAAGTATGTCCCAAAAAATCACCATTTAAACAATCACAAGAAAATGGGACATTAATCCTCGTATCACTAGTGATACTATCTTGGTTTGTAATTTCAGGATTGTATTTGAGAATATCTGGGATTGTTCGGTTGAATATGTGACTAATGTAAGTCAAATTAGCTCCTGGCCAAATATGGTACGAAGCCAAAGCCATGTCGCAACCATTTCCACACCTGGCTTCACCATTAATAAAAATGAAGAGAAAAAAACTAAGACTAAGCTGTAGAGTAAGGCTTATGGTTTTTGCTCTGATGCTCATTATTAAGAGAAGATAAAAAGAGGGAAAGAAGAAGAGGAGTAGTTATAGTCAAATATGCTACTCCATATTACATAACAAAATGTTGAAGGCATATTGTGTATTGTACGTCATGCCGTCTTCGAAAATATTATCTCCTTTTGTTCTTTTGCCATCTTGCTGCGCCTTAATACTTCATGCTTATTCTAACATTACTGACGAAATAAAATATCCAATTGCAAACTCTCTGTCCCCATACTCAATTTTGGATTCTTGGAATGTGAACTTATGCTTCCTGACAGGATGTACGTGCGAATTTTTATTGCTGGTGCGGCAAGCAGAAGAATGAAAATGACTCCTCTTTATTATTAATATAATTTAATTTACTTAATAGATTATCTACTTTGTTTTCCGACTTATCAAATCACGTTTGTTAGAAATAATTAGATGTTATTGCAAGTAACTTAACATATTGACATAAAAATATCATACATTGTCAGTGCACATAACTTAAACTTACTGAGAAAGTTATTTTCTTATTTTCTACTTTGGCGTATCTACACCAACGAGAGAAGGGCATCTTCGGAATTTGAATTATTGATCACGACACCTTATGGTAATGCCCACTCTTTGTAACTTCCGTTAAAAACATAATCTAAAGTTCATCCCCTTTTGCACAAATTATGGTGGCAGTTTCTAAGAAAATGTAAATCATATAGTAAATTATAAGAGAATGTAAGTTCAGAAATTTTAAAATGGCTTCATTTATTAGCTACTTGCTTCATTGGGTTACAACCATGCATACTAAAGTAATACTACCTCTGTTCAAACTATGGTTGTCCAACGGCGGGCCGTCCCGTCCCGTACCCCGGCCCGGCCCACTTAATTTTAAACAGGATGGGCCCATATTACATGGTACACAAGATGGGATGGGATATTCATGTCGTCCCGTTTATCCTGTCCCGTCCCACCTGTACCGTCTATCCCACATGTTTTTTTAATTTTTCTTTTTTTTTTTTGTAAATATAGCCGTTTGGCAATGGCCTCCATTGCAAATTTAGCCGTTCCCAACGCCCATAAACGGCTATAAATGGCCATATTTGCACCCCTCCCCCTCCAAAAAAAACTTTTAATATAACCCTTAAGTTTATTAAATTACACTTTGGCTCTATTTTTAACTATAAATACCCCCATCCTTCTTCATTTTTTCCCACAAAAATCAATCATTCTCTCTCAAATCTCTTACATTCTATCTATATAATTATTCTCTCAATTTTCTCACAATCAAGTGATCAACTAAGTTTCAAGTATTTGGGCAAATTTTTGGAGCAACTTTCAAGCTTCAAATTAATTCGTCAAGTATTTGGAGCAATTTTTCGGGCAATTTCTTCAAGTTTCAATATTTAATCACGGTGCGCTCGTTCCATCTCCTAATTTTAATATATAGTTTTTGTGTATCATTTTAGTGCTTAATTTTGTGATTACTTTACGTGTTCTATTTTCGTAATTCATTTGTGTGTTTAATTTTTGTGTTAAACTTTTTAAATTTAATTTCGTATTTAAATTATAGCACCTAAAAATGTATTTGGCCTATTTAAAAAAGTAGTAAAGGTGATAGTAGTAGTAATCCTAATCGTAGTCCTAATCCTAATCCTTCTCCTAGAATTAGAAAACATATAGATGAAATGACTCATGTTGATGAAACTTCATTTTTCTAACCCCCTGCGTGTTATAATATTAATTTCGGAGAACAGCTAGATCATGAAACTTTACAAAGACAATTTGGCAATGATATTTTTATTGAGGACGAAGAAAATGAGGATGAAGAAAATGAGGAAGAAGAAAAAGAGGATGAAGAAAATGAGGAAGAAGAATTAGATGAAACACCTGTCACGACCCCAAACCCGGTCGTGATGGCGCCCAACACTAATGCTAGGCAAGCCCGACCATTTACTCTCTCAACCCGAGCACAAAGCTCAAAACCAATTAATCAGATACTTAAAATCAAATATTAATACTCATAGTTGAAATACTCAATTAAAACAATACGAAATACTGATATAACTGTAACTCCCAAAGACCTGGGGTCATGAGTCTAGAGCCTCTAACTAATACAGAGTCAAAAAAAATCCTCAAAATAAGTATGTTCTAAAGTACGGAAATAATAAAGGGATAAGGGAGGAGTCGGGTCCTGCGGACGTCATAGCAGCTACCTCGACCACTCCTGGAACTCTGGAAACCAGCGGCTAGCTCAACTAAGCTCCCGAAGTACCTGAATCTGCACACAAGGTGCAGGGAGTAGGGTGAGTACTACCGACTCAGTGAGTAATAAGCATATAAAATGTCCGAAGATAAGAAATCCACGAAATACCACAAAGTAAAGCTAAAACTAACACTCCAACACCTAACTACGAACCAACAGCAAAACAACTTCAAATATATCAGTCAAGTATAATGTAAGGATGCAATGCAATGCACATGACCGCTACGGCGCGTAGCCCGATCCATTTAACGTCGACGGCGCTCACTGGGGGTGTGTACAGACTCCGGAGGGGCTCCTTCAGCCCAAGCGCAATATAATCATACCATTCGCTGCGGCGTGCAGCCCGATCCATACTCAGTCCACAATATGCATATGAGTCACGTAACAGATTCAATTAATTTCCCAATTTCCAATTTATTAAGGAGAATATACTTTAGAGATTTAACTTCAGGAAAAGTGACTTAGCATTTCATAACAGTGATTAAACACAGGACTGAGATCAATGATTATACAAAGCATGCTATCACAATGACATTCATCATCTAAGGATGCTACAGATCGGCACAAGGCCCCAAACAGGGCAATAAGCCAGATATATTCAATACAGGGTGCGTATCATTCGCCAATATAGAAACATTCTTGTTCGGGATGGACTAAGTCTCAATCCCCAGTCATAACTAATCCCGCACCTGCCATGGGGTGCGAGTCACGCCCTACAATAGCGTCACAATGTGATAAGCCGGGGTTTCAAACCCTCAGGCCATCATATACACCAACTACTCACCTCTAACCGGCCGTAGAATGGTCCGCAATGCCTTTTCCTTTCGTATCGACCTCCTCGCGCGTCGAATCTAGTCAAAATCACAACGAATACATAAATATGGGTTAAAGAAACATAACCCAATCAAAAATACTCGAAAAGTACTAAAATTCACGAAGTTGGTAAAACCCGAGCCCCGGGCCCACTTCTCGAAAAATTCCGAAAATCACACCAACGGATTCCTCGTCTCGCCACGAGTCCGTACATATAAAGTTTACCAAAATCGGAACTCAAATGACCTCTCAAATCTTCAAATCTTATTTCCAAATCCCTAGGTCCAAAATCCCCAATTTACACCTCAAAACATATAATCTAGTCGGATTATTTGATGATAATTCAATATTATGGAGTAGAAATAATCACAAGTGACTTAACTCAAGATTTCCCATGATTTCTTGCTCAAAATCGCCCCAAGCCGTGTTATTTCGCAAGAAAATAGGTAAAAAAACGAGCAGAAACGCAGCAGCTTTTAATAAGCAAATCTGGTCGCTAAAGACCCAAATCTGGTCGCTAAAAGTGCCACACTAGACCTGATGCACCAGCACTCTTTAATTTCACTAAAAAGGCTCTAACTCCTTAGTACGAACTCGGAATTAGACGATTCTTGTTCCTATGAGTCACAAATAATAATACGAACACAACCCTTCAATCGAAACTCAATTCGGAGCTCATTTGCCCAGTGCGATATCCATTTCGCTCGTTAAACAATTACTCATGTTTCGCGTCAAAAACCCAATCGCGACTTGATGAAATTAGACCAAAATTTCCAGATCATTCCTATAATTCATTATCAAAATTCCGGAAGTCTCGGAATCAAATTTGGATCTCTAGAACTAAAAATGAACCTTTAGATCATTACATTTATGCTCAAAACGGCAAAAATCTTTCAAAAACTCTTCCAAAATTTATCCGAGCCTCATGGGATCCCAACAAAGTATACTAACAAGTCCCATAATATATTACGGACTTGCTCGAGGCCTCAAATCACATCAAACAACGCTAAAATCATGAATCAACCTCCAATCCAAGCTTTATGAACTTTAGAACTTCCAACTTCTATTTCCGATGCCGAAACCTATCAAATCACGTCCGATTGACTTCAAATTTTGCACACAAGTCCAAAATGACATAACGAAGCTACAGCAACTCTCGGAATTCCATTCCGACTCCCGGATCAAAATTTCACCTATCAACCGGAAATCGCCAAAATAGGCTAACTTCTTCACCGGACCTCCAAAATTACTCCCAATTACGCTCTTAAGCCTTAAATCATCACCCGGAGCTAACCGAATCATCGTAATTCAATTCCGAGCCTTCTAACTCACAAGTCAACATCCGATTGACTTTTCCAACTTAAGCCTTCTTAAAAGAGACTAAGTGTCTCATTTCTTATCAAAATCATTCCAAATCAATTCTAACGCACCCAATACCGATAATGAAACATAAGAAAGCAGAAAATGGGAAGAACAGGGTAGTAACTCATAAGACGACGGGTTGGGTCGTCACAACACCCACTAGCCCCGCAACACAATCTCGGTCTGGAGCTTTACTCTCTGTACCTCCTGTAAGGGGTAAGCCTAAGGGTGAACGTCTCAAAACATCACTTTATGGAAATCTTTTAAACATGATAACGTCAATCAACGTGTTATATGTGAAAAATGTAAGCAATGATTTGTACACAAGACGAGTGGTGGGACGGGGGGTTTAGCCAGGCACTTATTTAAGGAGCACAAAGCTTTATGGATGCAAGCTCAAATAGAAGCCGAAAAAATACGGATTCTAGCACCGGTACTGGCGCTCCTAGTGGATCTGGCGGGGGTTCTAATTTTTTACAACAGCTTGACCCTGCTTCTGGGACTATTTTGCGCCCCTATAACAAAGATAGAGATCGTGAGAACTTAGCAAAAATGGTGGTTGTCTGTGGCTTACCTTTTACTTTTCCTTCTCACCCTGCTTTTGTGCATTATATACAAGAAACTTATAATCCTGCTTTTCAAGGTTTTCCCAAGACCACAGTTAGAAATTATGTTTTTAAATTTCAAACCGAATTATGTTTTTAAATTTCAAACCGAATATCTTCAGTATATTCATTGAGTATTTTTTCACTTGGATTATAAAGTGTCTATCACATCTGATATAGGTCGTAGTCCTAATGGTTGTGATTATTTAACTGTTACATGTCACTGGGTTGTTCATCACGGGAACATGCAATAACGTATTATTGGTTATAAATTTATTGATTCAATACACACTGGAGCATATAATGCAACTACTGTTCTACAAATAGTTGATTTTTATGGACTCATTGATAAAGTTTTAACTATCATCTTAGATAATGCTTCTGCTAACACAACCATAGTAACTAACTTAAGAACTAGACTTTGTCCAATTAATCCAGCAATTTTTCATGTTAGATGAGCATGCCATATTTTTAACTTGGTTGTAATAAATGGTATTAATTTATTTTCTGATACTTGTAGTAAAGTACAACAAGCTTGCGGCTATATTTTTCGTGCTACTAGAGCGAGTAAACTTCGTGAATTTGCTCAACAATGTGCTAGTTCTAACCTTCCATATAGAAAAGTTGCAAAAGATATTTGTACTAGGTGAAATTCTACTTATGAAATGCTTAAAGTTACTTATAATTATCGGATGCCTATATAAAAGGTATTTAATATGCATATTGGTATCCCCGATGATCAAATTGTTGATTCTGATTGGGATGAGATCAAAGAGCTTACTAAATTTTTAGAAAATTTTTATTATGCTACAAAATAATTTTCTGGTATATATTATTCTACTACTACACAAATATTATGGTATATTTGTGGAATTTCTGTTGTATTTGGTAGGTATAAAACAAATCCACCTTATGCACCGCCCTTTAATGAAATGATTGCAAAATTTAAATAGTATTTTTTTCCTATTCCCCAAGTTTATTTAATTTCTACTCTACTTAACCCATCTTTAAAATTAAGAGGTGCAAAGGGACTTGTTCGTAAAATTTATGAGAATTTAGCAATTCAAGAAAATGAACAACCATCTCTCGAAGACCACCAAGCTAACATATATTCTTATGCTAGATCAATGTTTGATAAATACAAATCCATGGAAACAACAGGTGGTGAAACTGCTCCTTCTACTTCTAAGTCTAGAGTAGAAGTTCTATGGGAAGGTATGGATGATATAACAAGTTTTAATTTCTCTATTGATGATGAACTTTGATTCTTACTTAATCAAGAATTGGAAAGTATTAAAGACGAAGAAGGTAACGAACAACTTTTGGCATGGTGGAGGGAGCGTGGCAAGGCTTTTCCGGCACTTTTAATAATGGCCTGAGATATCCTGGCTATTCAAGCATCATCAGTAGCATCGGAGAGTGCTTTTAGCGCGACAAGATTTCAAATCGGAGATCATAGACATTCATTAGTGGAGGACAACCAAGAGATTTCCGTATTATTCAGAGATTGGGTTAATTCAGAAAGAAGAAATCTTAGTTTTGAAAAATTAACCACTAGGGAAAAAGAAGAATACAATGAGATACTTAGCACTAGGAGCGATGACGGCATGGAACTCATGGACCATCAATCAATATTGCCAATTCCAGAACAATGTCCGAGAGAAATTATAGATAGGTTACAAATAAGCTATATAAGAGCTTACAAATATTAGTATGATAATTTGTAATTGGCTACTAAGAGGCATAGTTCAAACAGAACCCTTCCTAGAAGGTGACTGCGTATATTAGGTGCTCTTCAAAAGAATTATATTTGTATGTGAAATTTGAAAGTTCTATTAATAAAATAAAAGGCTCTAGGCCTTGAATTTTTTTATGAATTGTCTTGCACTCTTACTTAGTTACTTAATGGCTTGAAATTATATTAAATAAATTACAACTCTATTATAATTACTAAAATATTTCATTACAAGTCTTTTGTTTTAATATTTTATAATTCTTTACTTAGTTTCCTAATCTTCTTATAATTTATTAAGTTTTAAGTTTATTAAATAGGTCAAAAAACTAGCTGTTGCAAACTTTAAAAACTTATTCATTGTGCCAAACTTAATGCTTAAATAATTTTTTATTTTTTTAAAAAACGGCCCACGCCCGCGAAACTGTCATATCCCATCCCGTCCCATCCCGTTTGTAAGCGGGATGGGATGGGCCTACCGTTTCGTCCTGTTTATCTTGTCCTGCCATTGTTCCAGCTAAATGTCGTCCCGTCCAGTTCCGTCCCGTTCCGTTTATTTGGTCTCATCCCCTCCCGTTGGACAGCCTTAGTTCAAACTAAAAGTCATTAAGCTAGTACAACTAGTTGCGTCCTTCCAGTGTGCAGTCCATAAAAACAAAGGCTAATAAACTTTTCTATTGATTATTAATCTTGGTGTTTAATGTTAAAATTTATTAGCTTGATGCATATATCATGATGTTAATGTTTTTTCCCATAGAGGGATTCGGTTGCCGTGTCATCACTGGTGAATAAAGAATTCTAATAAAGAAATTTTGAAAAGGTCAAATAAAGTGTTTCAACTGAGATTCAAACCTACAACTTAAGATAATTTACGAGCCACATTAATCACTGCATGAGAAAGTTAAATTATGTCTAAGTAATTCAATTGAATCGCCTTTTAATCCTGAAGTTCGACAAAAATTTATCATCATACTATTTTATCATGATTAAATAATAGATGAAGATGCAAATATATATTAATTAATTAGGATTTATTGATAATTATATTTGTAAAGATATGTGTCATGTAGTTATAAATCCCTGGTTGATAACGTTGACTCTACTTTGACTTAAAAGTCATAAGACCTCTTTTCACTTGGCTCTAGTTTATTAACATGGCAATATGACTTATGCTTTGGATAGAGTCAGTTCATCCTCGCAATATGGCTAGAGATATTTATGCAATGGACCAGAGATATTTTCTTTTTTTTTTTCTAGGAATTTCTTCATTAGGACCACTGCCAATTGAAAATCAACTCATTCAATGGAGTACTCCACAGCAATCATATTTTCACAAGTCTCTTTATTTCCCTCAAGATTTCAAACAGAAAACAGAGCTTACCCATTCAAGCCATGGAAGCAGAGAACTTCCCAACCTACCCGTTTCCAGTGTCACAAGATGTATGTCCCTGGTGTGTAATCAGTGTATAGTTACCTTTTCTTGTGTTGCAATTTACAGATTTAAAGCATCTGTTTAATAACTTTAGTGTTCGGGTTTGCTTGCTTTACACCTTCACATATGTTTGCTACCTTCTACCATCACAAATCTGATAATTAAGATATATGTTTGACTTATATGCAGGATTTGGGACATCACCAGAATCCACAGCAGCCAAACATCTACACGACTTTTTCAACTATATTGCTGTTAAAATTGTCGCTGCACAGCTTCAGGTTCATTATTTCCTACTTAGCAAATTGTTGAAGAACAATGCGTCTCATAAGCATGTCTCTGTATGCCTACATATAGATAAAAGGATATAGAACAAATACTTATCAAGTATAGATTTTTTTTAGAGTTTTAACTTCGACACAATAAATGAATTTTTACAATACCAGATTACTTAAAAGAAAACATTATTCGTAAAATGTGGGATTAGTTGTTGGAATTTGTGGGTATCTCAAATCGAAGTGTCTCTTATTTTATCAACTTAATTTCTCTCATCTTGAAATAGTCAAACTAGCAAATGGAAACTAGCGGTTGGTGAACACCTATTTAAACATAGTCTTTGGAGAGCTAAAGACACAATTTTCTGACACAACTTTTTGAATCTTCTTCCTCCTCCTATATGCTAGGTTTCTTTATTGATTTTTCTGCTAGTTTTGTTCCCAGTTTAATAACTGGAAGAGCTTGTTGAATCCGCCTAATTTATTCTTTGTTGTGTAGGCAAAATATCCTTAAGGATAGTGTTGTTGACACGCCTCAAACTTTGTTGTTCCAAATAATAACTTAAAAATAATAGAGATTTCCTATTAAAATGCAAAAAAAAATTACACTGCCTATAAGTTAAATCCCCTTCATTAACCAAAATTTCACATGGCAGAGCTACAATCCTGAAGCGTATGAGGAGCTGAGGGAGTTTCTGGATAGACATTCATTGAGTGATGGTGATAAGTTTTGCGCAGATTTGATGAGGGAATCCCCAAGACATAAAAATCTAGGTACATTAACAATTTCCACATTTATTTGCAAGTATTTTAAACCAAATATCCGTTTTTCAGGAAAACATGTTTTCCTGTTAATTATTACTTACTAGTAGTATAATTTATAGCTTCAGCGGAACAGAAAAATGGTCCTTTCTTAAGATATTTAATCACATCCCAAAAGGGTGTTCTAACACATCCAAATCTGTTTCTGCAATTAAAAAATTGCAGACTTTATCAACTGCGTAATTTCTCTTGCCAAGTTATATACAATGTGTCGAAGTCCTAACCTATTTTCTTAAATGTGTGGGAACTTGGTGTCTCCTTCTTCAAGCTTTGCGCATCTTAGAGGTTGGCTTACTCTCTGGTCTCTTTTGTTCTCCCTAGTTTGTTCATGATAGCAATTAATGACAGTTAACTGATTTAGATATATCTTCGTAAAGGTTCGATCAGCATACTGTAAGGAAGATTTTGAATGGGATAACTTGCAGCGCTTAGCATCAAAGGTAAAAGATTATGGATTTATCTTATATTCACTACGTGTAAATGAAATTTTTATATAATCATGACTATTTTTAGTGTTTAAAAGTTAAAGCCCAAAGTTTATTACTTTACCTCGTCAATAAACCCCTCAGCCACCTGTGTCTTAGTTGCATCTACTGTATCTGTGGATTTTGCAGATGGTGGATGATTCTAATAAAAAGGTTATGATGGATTATATCGTAGATACAAGCTGCACGGTAGACGGAAAGCAAATTTGCTAGACAAAACTCCTGAACATTCTTGATCATGGTGTATTGTATCATATTATAACTTGTATTTAAAAGACAGATTTCTAAGATGAAGTGAGCCACAATCACAATATCCTTATAGATTCTTCATGTATTGTATCAAACTGAAAAATATAAACTTGTTATAGTTTATACTCCTGACTACTCTAATAATCAATATAGAGGTGTGATGGTTTACAATATAATGCGCCAATTGTCAAAATGACCAATCAGTCAAGTGCATGTGTTAATATGCCTGTATATTTCACATTATGTCCTATAGCCTTCTAATGTGCTCTTTTTTCATCAAGATCATTTGGCTGCAAAATTCAGCCAAGTATGAGCAGATATGTGTAATATTTTTTGCGTGTACATCTGTGTATGTCACAAAGAAAATACATCAAACTGCTAGATCTTGGCAACAGAATTTGGAGAAGACTTATCTTTACTGGGACTAGTTTTCGTGGAAGTTCCTGGATCAAGTTTGGGGAAATAGCATCTATCAATTGAAAAAAGAATCTTTCATCTGCTTTTGCAGTCTTCCGTATACCTTGATTATATTATACTTTAGTTATACATATTTGTACACGTATTATACATATATTATATATTCGCCCGCTACTTTTAGTTCAAAAAATTAGATGGGCGGCTATTTGGATTAATTCTTCAACAAAAAAAAAAAAGGAAACATGTCGAAAGAGTAGACCAGGTTTATTATTGGGAAACTACCAGCTAGGTCCATTTATAAGTAGTTCATTACAAAAATTGGTCAATTCATAAAATATTACTAATATTAGCCAAATACTACTAATATTAGCCAATTAGCTATTTGTAGCAAAAAAAAAGGTCAATTTTTTGCTTTCTTTTGAGTGAGTATTATTAGAATAGATTGGGTACATCTTAAGGAGTTTGAATCTCAATTTTGGGATGATTTGGTGAAGTTTTGAGGTGGTTTGAATTGAAAATTCGAAGTAAAAACTGAACATGAAAACAAAATGGTGTGTATCACACTGTGTATCATTTTTGTATCGCATATGTATCATATTTGTATCAAGTGTGTATCATATCTGTGTGTGAGATACATGCGTCATACATGTTTGATACATGTGTCGCAGAAGAATTTTTTGAACTCGATTTAATTACGAGTTTTGATACAAAACCAGTCCTAATCACCTTCAATCTTCCTCAAATTTTGTATAATGACTTATCTATATATTTCAAATGAATTTCACTATACCAATTGAAAAAGTTCTTTTTTTGCTTAGATTTTTGGAATATTGTATTTTTTTTTTGTATTTCATCAACTTATTTGCTTCTCATCCATGAAATTTTCTTTCCATCTTGCATCTAATGTTGCTAATCACGCTTATAAATATAGAAGGAGTTTTTTGCATGTGATTCTTCGAGAGAAATAACCCTATTTATTTGGTTTTTCAATGTTCATATGTGTTTGATTAGTTTTGGTAAGTTTATGGTAAGTTGAGACTTATTTGGGACATTTGTGTAAGTTTCCCTTTAATATTCCCTGATTTGTTTTGTATATTTTTGGCCCAATTTCTAGAGTACGAGAGGCCCAAAATAAGGTTTTGTTGTCCATCTTACTTGGAGTGGACGAAAGTGGAAATCAGAAATTCAGAATCATTTGATCATTCATTTGTGAACAACTTTAGGCTGAACTTTTTCCTTTCATCTTCAGAAAAGAGGCCCATTTGCAAAACTAAGAAATTGGAAAACAGACCTAGGATCTTAACTAGTGTTACACCTTCTACTTCTTTGAGATAATGGTCGTCAATTTAATAGAAATAAACAAATTTAAGTGTGTGTATATATTTATACACTTCAAATTTTTTCAACCACTTTTTTGCATCTATATGTGTGTCTGAGCGCATGCGTTATATGTACAATTATCCGAATTGTCTGACCCGTCCAAGAATGGACGAAATAATTAAGGATGGAATAACATGCGTTGGATTAAATGACTGGAAGTTATATGGTTGTTTCTCAAATCTCTATTTGTGAAATATATTTATAGAGGGAAAAAGTTTTAAAACCTAAACTATAAATTAAGTAATTGAGAAACAGTCTTGAAGTGGACGAATTTGTTTATCACTATGCTATTTAGTTCACATTGAATTTTCGAACTTTGAACGAGACATAGTTCATAGTCTTATTCAACACGCCCATTGACGCTAACATGCACATATTGCAATGAGACTCCCGTCAATATTTTATTTTTATGGGTCCAAGATTTCGGTTTTAACCGCTGAAACCCATTATCTTATTTGAGTAGTGGGTTCATAGTTCAAATTTTTCAGTAATTTTATACTGAAATTCATGTTTAGGATAAAAGTTATGGGTTAATTGAACCCATAGCTGATCTGTCGGATTCGCCCATGCATGTTCGTCATACCCTTCCGAGATCGACAAAAGAGTCCATGATTTATGATATCAGTACACTTCGGCCTTTTCACCTCATGATTTGGCTATAGTAGTGTTTATGAACATGTTCTGGTTTCATTTTTCAATACGTGATTGCTTTTCCCAGGTGCAATGCATGTATTAATCATTTAGCCGTAGTACTGTGGAACATGCCTTGGTTTCATTTTTACTACGTGATTTATGTTTTTCAGGTGCTATTGATAGGAGTGCTTAGCATAATTATGTATGGAATCATTATACTATTTTCCTAGCATGCTAAATTATAGGAGCATCCTTTTTTTATAGTAGTTAATTTTTGGTAGTGAAAGAGTCAATCCAGCCAAAATTGATCAACTAATGGGCCTACATCCACCAACATAATTGAAACATTTAACAACTCACTACCAAACAAAGAGGTTTGTCGTCTTCAACACCTCTAACCTCTTTCTTTAGAGAATATGATGAAGTTGACAAAAGAAGGGAGGGGACCCGTCACTACTTTTAGATAAAAGTATAATTTTGCATTGATAGTATATTATGCATTTTAGAGAAATTTTACTTTGTGAACCCCCAAGTATAATTAGTCATGTGAGGCTATACTCCTCCGGTCCTTTTTTTCTTCCCGTAATTCTCTCATCTTCTCTAATTATGAGTTTTGTTTTCTTTGTGAAAATGCAAGATACTCATAATTCATAAAATTGCGAATTTCAGTTTATATATTAGATATATTTTATTCCCTTATTCACCCAAAATCGCAGTTGTTTTGTCTTCTAGGTTTTGTTGCAGTTATCACTTTCTTTCTTCTAGGCCATTTTTATGTCATCACCCAAAATCCATCCGAAAGAGTCGTGATGGCACCTAGTCTCTAAAACTAGGTAAGTATAACGTTAACAGAAATAGCAACAATATTTGCTAACATCGAACAATTTCGAAATAGAAATCTCTGTACAATTTACAATTACAAAACCGGTAGTACAAGTCATAAGTCTTTCTAGGAGTAGTTATACATAATGATTTCATCGCTGTTCCAGAACAAAAGGAAACAATGAAAATAAATACAATAGAAGGTGACTCCGAGGCCTGCGAACGAAACAACAGTTTTACCTTGAGTCTCCACAGCAATGATCCGCGCAACTACTAACGATCGAATACCTGGATCTGTACAAAAGAATGTACAGAAGTATAGTATGAGCACCACAGCGGTGCCCAGTAAGTATCAAGACTAACCTCGGTGGAGTAGTGACGAGTAACAGTCAAGACACCTACTGGTCTAACCTGAACAGGATATGACATAACGCTAATAAGATAGGGATATCAAAGTAATGTTAATAGCAGGAAGAATTCAAATTACAAAACAGTAGTGACGATAAGGGGAAAACACGAATGGCAACGAGAAATAACCAAGTAGTTAAACAACAACATAGTTGGGATACAGATAAGTGTAAATGTGCTCAAGTAGGGAAAACGATGTCAACTCAACCAAATAAATTATTTCTAATACACGATTCCAATAATTTCATTCCTCATAATCTCATACCATAAACCACAACTTCCAACCCTTTAACAGATACACGACACCTTGTGCCCACATCCTTCTATCTCACTTTATACGGCGAAAATCACGTGCTACTCAGTACACAATATCCGTGTCAATCGCTAATTGAGATGTTCAAGAGATTCCATTTATATATCATAAAGTAAATTTACAGTTTCTAGACCAAATAGGAAATAAGCGAGAAAGATGAGTTTTGTTTTAGAAGTTATGTGAGTGAAGAAAATAATATTTTCAAATAAAATTCAATATCGAATAGCTATTGCATTTAATATATAATTTATTAAGTTAAAACATAATAAGAATTCCTTTAAAAACCTCAGACAGGTTAAGAAGATTAAGATGGGGAAGCAATTGAAATAAAATATAACGATTATTAGAAATAGTAGATACTGAAATATACGGCGAGTTTTAACTTAAAGTCACACAAGGTAGCACGATATTAGTTCTTTCATTTTAAATCACTATATTACTAACAACTCAGCAGCGCAAGAGGAAATGACTCAACGTAGTAAGTTTACTTTGAAAATTAATTCACCAGAGTAATAGTATTAGGAAAAGAGCTCAAGAAATGACGGCAAGACAATAAGTCAATGACAATAACTCGATCCTCAAAACTCCATGAAAACCAGAAATACAGATTATCAAAGTCTCGCACAAAGGAACTAAAGTCAATACAGTAAAACAAGGGATACCAAAATACAAGATATGTTGCGGCGCGCAACCCGATCCCACCATATAATATCAATATCATAAGTCACACTTATTCCACCATATCAATTCACCCTTATTTCACCTGTTGCGGTGTGCAACCCGATCCCACCGTACAATATCAATATCATAACAATAAACATAATGTGTTGCAGCGTGCAACCCGATCCAACCTTATAATATCAATATCATAATCCACCCTTATTTCACCGTAATAATCCACCCTTATTTCACCTGTCGCGGCATGCAACCCGATCCCAACGTACAATAACAATATCACAATATAAATATCCTCCCTTATTCCACCACCTCCCATATTACACCTATTGCGGCGTGCAACCCGATCCCTCGTACAATAATTTAAATCTACAACAACAGTTCAACAACTCAATTACAAGAATTTCTACAACCAAGAGTAT